AGCCTGTTTAATAATAATAATAATGATGATAATAATAATAATTATGGTTTTCCGGTCTTAACGCTGCTAGTGCTTTACAGTTGGTAAAATTTATCACAAAGAACGGTGGTGCAAAATATTCTTTGTTAAAACATATCTCTGCCAACAGCTTGATTCAATAAATATATTCTGTCGTTTTTCACTATTCTTAGTATCTAGTAAACTAACAAGGACCGTTGGCATAATCGGTATACCGTTAGGTAGCTTAGCCATTTGTTTAAGCATTAGGAGGTATATCGAGCTATAAGACAAATATTTACAATGATAGCAATTAGGCTAACAGTGAAGTTTGTTTCAGAATAAACCCAAGAAACAATATTTATACCGGGTTTATACCAAAAAGTGATGCATCAAGGCTGTTTTGAGCATCGAGCAGAGTAGTGAATTTGCAGTGAACATCTGCACAAGTAGTAAAAACAGAATAGCGAATATACGAGCTTAGGTCTCTTAAAAAAAGCTTGGTCACACTCTTGAACACCATGTTGTCTTGATATGCATATCTACTCGAAAGCAAATGGCAACTAGGCCGTGGGGCTTCAAATCTGACCACATTCTTGCGGGCCCCTGTTGTCCTTAGCTATCGAACTTGGGTGCTAGAAGCCACCTCAAGCCATTGGCTGTGAGACTACAAGCAGAATACGTAAATGATTTTTATACAAGAGGGTTCTAGATAGAAGAACAGCCAAATCTTCAAGAAACACAAGGAGAGTAGAATGTCCCAAAAACAGAAAACAGAAAAACAGAAAATCAAGAAATTAAAGGAAAAATGTCAACGCATTTTGATAACTATAAAAACGATGAAACTGTTAAACTCAAAAACAAAGATTGGTAACTAAGCATCGCAAGAATATCATCAAAGCATCTTAACTGCCCAAAATAAATGGCTGAGATAATTGTCATAAAAACATTTGGAAACATTAAATACCAGCAGGTTGCGAGTAGGCGGCAGTTGTCGGCTTTTCAGTGGTTAAATTTTATATACATTTGGATAAGTCTAGTATTCTCACTATCTATAGAAGGTCCAAGGTGCTTAGCAATCGTCCCAGGACAAAGAAGTTGGTTTAAGTTTGTATATAAAAGCTATTTCTGCTAATACAGAGAGCGCAACACATCCGACATGCATTTGCATGCAATCCAACATCTGCTTCGTTTCATCCACAAAGATAAAATATAACAGGATATTAAAAAATAGTCCTTAAAGTTACGTCACCACAGTAACACATTTACGCCTCGTTTCCAAGCAGAGGCATGGAAGGGAAGGAGGAATTGCCCGATTCCCCGAAAAAATAAATGCTCAGAAAAATTGGATAGGATATCAAGTTTGGCTTTGAATTTAAAAAAAAATTGAATTTCACTTTGCATCTCACAGATCCAATTTACTAAAAAACTTCATTTTGGAGGCCCCCCGGCGTCCTATTATGTTGGAGAGTAGACGAAATAATGTCTAATTTTTCCATTATGATGTTGCTTTAGATAGCTGCTATTATCAAAATATGACAAGCTAATATAAAGTATGATACCCTAATGTTGGGAATAAACGGAGAGAATTTTAAAAACAGGTCGACCTTGAAGACAACTGAAAAGTCAAAATTGTTATTAACACTGATTTATTCAAGAATCGTGAAGAGAACAATATTGAGCCTTAAACAACGTCTATTGAGACGAAAGCAGATTTCAACTAACAAAATATAAAAAGAAAGCAATAGAAATACTAAAAAAGGGGGAGAGGACGCCTTCAATTTTCGACCCCAGTGTAAGCCTTTTTTATATAAATTGGAAAATCTCCTGCCTGGGAATCTAGCATTGGACACTAGCAAAGCGCGAACATTTTTCAAGCAAAATACAAATTTCCGCTGTCAGTTGTGGAAAGAATAAAATTCTATTTTCTACCAATACTGCCTATATCCTAGGATATGTAATACCGAAATTGTAAAATACCAGAATAATAATTCCTGTTTTAAAAAACACACCCCCCCTCCATTCTAGTTAGGTTTTCATTTACTACTTTGGAGTTTTGCGATCGACCCGAATAAAAATAATACGAGGATAAACACAACAATGACAGGTCTCCCACAGTCCGGTCCAAATGACGTAACATTGGTTGCAAAGGTAGCAACAAGCAATGAGGCAAAAATGTGAATCAAGTTTATGAAATGAAACCAGGGACATCCCGAACGAGGGGTGTGGGGGTGTCACACCCCCAACTCTGCCGTTCAGCAATTTTTCAGGTAGATACTTGTGCTTCGCTAGGTCAAATTCAAATCAGGAAGGAGCAAATGAACCAAAGATTTAGCAGCCGTTTCTTGTTAACAAAGCAACAAAGAGTTCGTGCAATATATGAAACACTCTATAGGAAGTTATATATGAATAAACAGTACAGCATGTATGTACTGATTTCAGGCCCCTTTCATCACTTCACGCTACTTCAACAACAAACTGGACCCCAGATCTCTGATGGTACAAGTCTGTGGGACGACGTCCAGTGCAATAAGGCTACGGTATGCGTCGAAGATATTTTGATATTCAAGAACGGTATGCTTGTCGTACCGCTTTCCGAGCCTTCTTGTAAATGCCAAAGTTGGACCCTTTTTTCTGCTATCCTTTTTTGAGAACAAGAAGGCCTCTCTTGTATTTTTCATAGCAACACTTATATATTCATAGTTCCCAGGGTGGAAATTTTCTTTTTGCTTTTCTTCTTTAATGTTTTTCATCCATATGCTCTTCTCGTATTTCTTTCTCCTTTAACGTTTCAATCATATCTCCAAAGAAAAAGCATCGAAAAGAAAGAAAAGGCTGTTAAACATAAACATGCCTTCTTTCCCCTTCGTCGGGCTTGTTTTATTGCACAAAATGGAAGTGGAAAGAAATTGATAGGAAGAAACTTTTCGACCTGTTTACCGTTTTCCATTTGTCATAGACTATCCATAACGTGAAGTGGAAATCCACCTTTACACCATTTTTCTTAGTTTTCTGACAAGCTGAGCTGGTCTTTTCTATGGTTTTAAACAAACAAACAGAGAGCTTGCAGTCTTCTTCAAACATGAAAAAGAGTGTATAAAGAAGACCAACAGAGAGGTCTAGAAAAAGGAAAAGAAATTCCACAATTGTGTGGCACTGCAGCAAAGATTGCTTTACATTCTGAGTAAGGTACGGCATATTCAAGCTGGCAACAAAACTCTACAGGCTTTTTCTATTACATCCCCATCTGTTGCTACAAATAAACAGTCGTCCAGCCTGATAAAAAGCGTTAAAAAATATGCCAGAAACAAGACAGAAAAGAAAAATTGACCAACCTGACAGTTTTTGTTGCAGAGAGAGATACAAAGCTTGATGAAATTTTGAAGAAGAGAATCAATTGATTAAGGCATTATCATTATTAAAATACCTTTTGTAAATTTTTAAAGGCAGATAGAAACTTTTCAGGTAAGAAAGGCATTGTCACAAAAAATTAGGTAGATTCAACCAAACACCCCGCCAAACTTAAAGGCTTTGGGACATCCCTGGATGAAACAATAAATAATTCTCATATGTATCTCATTTGTTAAATACTTTTCTAAGGGAAGCAGTATGCGGGAAGATGGGTAATCTAGCAATATATATCATCTAGATTCATCTTGGTAGGATAATTGGTAATTACTGTTCGACGAAACAAGGACTGAAAGCAAACAAAACAAGGACAGAAAGCAAACAAGCTGCTACTGTACCATGGTACAAATTTTAGAAAAGAGTGACAAAGTGTGACGTCATCAAAATCTATTTTTAAATCTTTTTAATTTTGATCATATGATCTGAAAGTAAAGCGCAAAAGATCTCAAAATATGCCAATATGAGTAATATGTTTAAAACTGGTTGATATTTCCCAAACTGGTTGATATATCCATTTGATATACCCAAATAAAAAATTTCAAAAAGTGTGCTAACGGATGATCTGGTTTATAAAAGGTTATGAACCAAATTACAGGGATTTGATGGGGAAAAGGGTCTGGACCTCATAGGACCATATTTCAGCAAAATCCTGACACATTTAACTGATTTTGCATATTTTGAAATATTTCACAAAGTCATCACTTTTTGGAAGCGCAACAACAAATCATGTACTGGGATTTCCATAAGCATATCATATGACCTTGAGAAAATGTAAAGAGGCACGAGCTAACGGAGAGAAGCTGAAAAACTGCTAACGGAAGTTTCACTATATAGATCACAAGAGCAATTGAACAGTTCGTTAACCTCTGACAACCTATAATTCATAGCCTAGAAATAAATCGATTACCAGTAGAACAGCGATTGGCTGAAAAACCACAAAATACTATTGGATATCTTGGTGAAGCACATTAATAACTTAGTAACGAGCTGTCTCGTGTTTCACTACATCTTGAAAGAGGCAGAAGATTACATATACAATGGCAGTTTCAAGGTCGGTCGGCACTTAATGAACCCTGGCAAAACTAGGAACCTCAAAAATAGAAAACCTCAATCCCAAAACAAAAATATGAGCATGATTTGTTTAGGAAAATACAAACTTTAGCAACCCATGAAAATCACGATCAATTCCAGACTAAAGCCGAAATTTTCTTTATGATAAAAACTGGACCAACTATTTGCGTTGATAAAAACCTCCAAGAAATACCTCCAAGCAGTCCTAAAATTGTTTGTGGTTCTGAAGGCATTGGGCAGGAACAAATATTTTTGAACTTTCATACATTAGATTTTCACTATAAAACATTTATCATTATAATATTTCATTGATTTATATCATTATTTCATTAGATTTCAATGTATTAAAAGATGAATATATTACGATTTATCTGAAATGGAGAGAATTTTAGTGTGTTTACAGTGGCCTAGTGTGAGATTAACCTTGGGCTGTTTAAAGAGTGTAACAATTACGTGCAAGATCTGACTACAGGTATCATATCAACAAATGTAAAGTGTTAAAAAAAATGAAAGAGAATTCTTACCCCGCTGGCCTCTTCCAGCATTTCAGTAGACTTGACAGTAAGAAATAAATCACGATGTTGAAGCTAACTCATTTGCTTTTCTTCGTAACACCTGAAAAACAAGATTGGCATTTTAGAAACACTGGTCCTAAAGGCACCAAGTTATCAGGACTAGGACAACTATCCTCATTAATTGAGAAAAGCAATATTTTAAGGTAGCAACATTTGTATCTTACCAGAATTTACTAAGCTTTACTTAACAGTAGTATATATTTGTTCTAGAAGAAACTGGTCACAATATTGCGCCTATTTTTATCAAGAAAGATCCTTGTCGTGGTGTCAGGCAAGCCTTATATATAAATATTGGTGCACCGCAAGACTCGTGCCCAGGATCGTTTCTTTTTCCTCTATTTACTAACAAAATCTTCTTAGTTTAGTGTCTAGGCATGATGAAAAGCTGAACAGTTGAAAGAGGCGTAGTAACAATGAAACGGAAGTTTTTCATAAAGACACAGAAGGATGACCGTTTCATGTTGATAAGCAATTTGCTTTAATAGAGAACAACGATAACTATAAATACAAAAAATAATAATGTGAACAATTTTTTGGCGGTACAAAATTTAAAAATTGCTTTGAAAAAAGCAAACATATTTTACATACTAAAAGCTTTTTCGTCTGACACTCCTCAGAGTATAAAATGTCAGGCAGGTCATGTGCTCACGTTTTGCTGATTGGCCTATTTCGATCTGCAACTGGGTATATATTTTTCATCGTGTTGTTTCGGACCCTAATTCTGACGTTTTAAACTCTGAGGAATGTCAGATATAAAAACTTTTAGAATGTAGGAAAAATGTTGGCTCTTTTTAAAGCGATTTCCAAATAATAATAATAATAATCTTGACAAAGTTGAGATGAAAATGCATGCTTTGACACTTCTAACTAGACAAAGAAGTTAAGGGATGTTTTGATAATTGTTTCACTAGACGTATGTTTCACTAGACGTAGATGCATGCTTTAAACTAGGTCGAAATTTTTTCACGAGCTGACTTCCAAAACGCTGAGATGTAACGCGCTTGAACCTTCTTGCGCGCTACAATCCCTGCCAAAAGTCTTGCGACACTAAACTAAATTATTGAAAATTTCCTGTTGTGCCCCCTCCCCTCTGAAAAATGTTGCTTTATGCAATGGTATATGGTTTGGTGTTGTTAATTAGAGTTCTTCACATAGCTACGATATTTAACTCTTCAGCCAACATACTTAAGCAACAGCATAGGACGCTCCAGGGACTTTTAGCTGGGTTTGTACAACCAGCGTAAAGAAGGGAAGCAAACGGAAGAGACCTGACAAGCCAAAAATCTTTGTGTTGATCATATTGGCTTGCAAAGTTGTTCTATTAAGTATCCTTTGACACTTGCAATTTATCTGCCACTAGAAACACGTAGTCCATACACAAACAACGATAGATTGGTTACAACAGAAGAGCACTGTTATGCTAAAGATTTATCATTGGATTCAAGTTTAATCGTTCTAAAGACTGGATACGTTAGCAGGTAGCAACAAAATTTGAAGAATAAATTTGCAAAGAAGGAAAAAGCTCTGGCTACTTTGAAAATAAAACGGTACTCGTGTAATAACTAATGTTTTGAGTGGCTGTTACTGCTACCGTTGCAATGCTGCTAGAAAGAAAATATTTTGCAAGATATACTGAAATGATAATGGGCTCAACCTGCTTATAATGACTTCTTCAGTTAGCTGTGGTGCTTAAGACCACTTTAAAATCAAATGCAGAAAGCCATGTAACAACCGCATATCAAGTTAATAATGGCAAAAGCATGTATTGAACAGACTGCTTGATGATGTCACGTGTCAAATAAAAGTTAACGAGAAAATGGGACTGCTTTCTTGCTAGAAAGCCTAAATTTTGAAAGAGAAGGTGGGAAACTGGCTAATACAATCAATCATTAAAATAATATTCGAAAAAGCTTTGTAAAATAAATTGCAGCAAAAATCTCAGACTTCTAGAGGCCTTTTCAAGGCATGTAAAAGCTTGCAAATCTGGAGTGCATAGGTATCATATTTGAAACAGCTATCACATCTGCGTAAGAGAAATTCTCCGAATTCTATTCAAAAGTAATCTAAGAATCGCATGAAATGAAACTGCAGGAACAAAATTCCCTTGAAGAGCAGCATACAAACAATTTTTCCATTTATATATTTCTAGCTATTCAAATGATGTATACATTATTACTTTCTTATTGGCTGAAGGTGTAATAACATACAAAGACACCTCGAATGTTTTGTCTTGGAAATAAAAATGGTGATTGGCAACTTACTCTTGATGTTAACGTAAACGCTCAAAGATACTTGTAACTGAAAGGGGAGATTGAACAGGTAGGCCATCCATTGCAAGCTTCGAAGTTGAACACACACAAACAGGTTAGCGTTATCCAGTTCATTGTTCAGTTCATAACAAAGAACCCACTATCTACGACAGCTTTAACAAACAGAATGGACGTACATACAGTGGAGAATGGGTTACTACAAAGGGAAACTGCTATGACCGCAACAAATAATGAGCCACGAAAAGGCTGCAATACAATAATTGCTGCGATATAAAAAATCTATGTATCGCTTGAAAACATATTTTATCTCCGAAAAGTTGTAGTTTCTAACACAGACTTCTTGAAAATAGTTTTATGGTTGTTAATTAGAATTGAACCACACAAAAGGTTAAGGATTAAAACAAATAAATAATACAATGTGATAAACCTAACATAAAAAAGCTATTAAATAATAAAATGAATGTAATAAAAAAGCTGAAAATAAATGTGTGTCGTACGATTACTGAGAATATAATGAATGAAAAATGAAATAAAAGGTTAACATTGTTGTAAAAACAAAAAATAAGAAAAAGAAGTAATTGTGAAGATCTGGTACCAAATTCGCCTAAATGATGAAAATTTTATTCTTCATCAAAATCTGAATATATGATAGTAAAACTGCCTGAAGGCAAATGTCTGGAAAAAATTGATACTTGAAAATCAAGCTACAACTGCAATATCGATAAAATGCATTTTCGTAGAGAAGAATCTCTAAGAAATTCGATTGTAAAGCCTAGTTTATAGTAAAGGCTAGGTAGAAATTTTTTTGGTTAGGTAGAAAATTTTCAGCAAAACGTGATAAAAACAGCTGCTTTTTGCACGAACAAAAATTTTTATAATGTGCTTGACTTGAGTCTTGATTGAGATCTTGGCAGACTTGGCAAAGTTTTTGATTGGTATTGAAATCTTTTTTCGTGTTCTTTCACATCATATTCGCCTTTGAATATTGAGATGTCATCATTTATCAATGTAAAATATCATGACGACACGTGTACCAATCATATTAAATGAAAAGTCAAAAAGGGGGCTGATAAGTATGAACTGGTATCCAGTTTCATCTTCCTTAAAGCTGACATCTATTATCCTTCCTAAACACCAGTTGATTGTGGAGAGCACAATCTATGTTGAAGTTTTCTTCCAGTCAAAAAGCAAATCGCTATTCGATATTGGTTCACAAATCACAAAGTCAATCTTTGCTGAAGATTAAAAAGATACAATGAACAATCAAATTACAATATTTTATTGGAAACATTCTCTAGACCAAATAAATTAGAAGCCCTTGCAGGATACTTGTGTGTACTATTTGTTGAGCTATTGTACACCATACTTTCATCTCGCAGAAAAATTGTTGTCCTGTTTACCAGGTTCCCAGAAAGGAAACTATTTTCTGCACCTCTGGTTACAATTTAATGCCGCAGCAAAATGCGGTATAAAACCAAACACGAATTATTGAATTAAATTCGCCGAGGTCTGCCGCATTAACAGCGAATTTAATGATTCAATGCGGGTTGGCTTTATCTATACTACACATTCGTGGCAACACAGTTTACCGCATAAATTTCCTGATGAACCTGGGATCTCTCTACAAGAGCAAGCGTGTTGATCATTAATTTTAACATCTGGCGGGAAATAAGGTGGCGCGTTTCAAAAAGATGGCTTTGCTTTTGCAAGAGAAAGAAGACGATGCAAGCATTTTAGCGAGTGTGGCTTCATGCTTGAAGGAATGCAGTCTAAAGAGAGTAATGCTGAGAGCACTGACTCTTTAGGTGTGCCGAAAACAAGCAAGGTGATAAGAGAACGGCAGGAGAAGGAGGAGAGGCCTCACCTACATTAAAGGAAAAGAAGAAACGTGTTGGTCGCATAGCAGCCTGACCAGATGAATGTACTCACGAAGCTATAAACATGGTTTGTGAGAGCGACTATAATCGCAAACAAATTATTCAAGAACACTGAAATTTACGACACGGTTGTGAAAGATACAACAGAACGCTAAACACCAACAGAACGCCTATCTCCATAGCGTGAACCTTTGTCCACAGTAAAACTGTCATGAACTCCCTTTGGTCGGTCTTTGTCTCCATTCCTACATAAAGACAATTAAGTTATTTACTTGTTTTCTCCTGCTCTTCTTTCTACGAATTTTTTTCAGGCCTCTCATACTCTCGCATATTTTCACTAACTTGTTTCGCGGCGCCATTTTGGATAGACCAGAACCAATTTCCGCGCCAATTTCAGCTGCTGCCTTCCCCCGCAGCCACTGGCTTAAAGTCTCAAAATTAAATGGCTTTGCGGATAATACGCAGTATAAATCAAATACAAAATGTTCAATCCATTTTTCGCATTAAAGACGAATTCAATGTAATGCAATTCACTGCGGTAATAATACGCAGCCTAAGAGTTTTAAAATTCAAATTTTGAGTATAACCCTTCCAAATATGTTAGCCTCTTTATGTGGAGACTGAAATGATGCGATTTCTCGGAATTCAACCGTGTCAATTTTCAACTATAAACCAGAAAATATTGTAAACAAAGGATCTTCTGCAGCAATCGACTTTAAATTCAAACAAAGATCAAATGAGGAAAACAGCTGTGTTCAGTTACCATAGTTACCAAACACGTAACGAAAATATATCGTTAAGAAGTTGAAAGCATGATTTACACGTGGATGCATTTTGAAGCAGCCTGCATTCAGTAAGCAAGTAATTAGGACCCTCATGAGTACCAAGATAGAGCTAAAAAATATCCCTTTTCCGAAGTAAAGAGAGGGAAGACCTCCAGTGTCTAGAGTTGTAGTGAAAATGATCAGGCACCACCCTGCCACTGGGCTGGAAGAGGCTATAGCGATGGCCCCTCCACCTTTTTGCAATAATAGGTTAGAAAACTTTGTGGAAAGTTTAATCCAGCTATGCTTTAAGGAACATTGGATAGTATACTCCTAAGTAGTAGCTCTTCTTGACTGGGAACCCATTTTGTTCATTTTCTAGGTGTTTTTCTTTATGTTTTATTATCCCCAAGCTATCTCATCTTTCTTTTAGCCATTGAAATCTTCTCTGAACCTGATTTGTTATAAAACTTCAGTAGAAATAAGCAACTATTTTCTAAAAGGGGTGTTTCACGGCGTTCTGGAGGCGTGGCCTAAAAAACTTATCAGGCACGCCCTTTTCAACCCTCCCACATTTACACTGGTGTGCGGTCCCTGAAAATGATTCTAAAAATGCTTCTTTATCTGTACTAGACTAGTTTTTCGCCATATTATAAGATTCTAACCAATTATATAAAGTCTTTGGGCCTGTTCCTGGTGCGACTTTAACTACGGACTGGAAAAACACGACGCAAAACACCTGGTATATCTTCGCAAGTTTCCATGATTTAGGAAGGCAGTGAAACATTACTGTACTTAAAATGGTTGACTTCTGATCTACAATTATTATCAAACTACGCTTATTAAAAACATTTTTGATAGTTTTTGCACCTGATTTCATGGAGAGTGCTTAGAATGCAACAGTGTACTGAAAATATCAACGAAAAGCCAGCTGTTTGAAGCGGTAAGATACCAGTTTAACAAAAGAGAGAGAGAGCTGAAAATCACAGACACACATTCAAACTTCCCGATAACAACTATCTGTCCACTTTTAATCAAGCCGCGTTGAATAAGAAAACAGCTGAAGTTTTTTAAAATGAAACTCAGACGTTAAATGGAAATAATTTATAAAATTTGAGCTTTGGATTAACAGAACATAGCATTGGCTAGTTGTGACGCCGAAATAATAACCTTCCCGATGAATGAAAAGAAAAAATTCTAACAAAGTAAATCCGTAAAGAAATAAGCTTATAGTGGGAAACAGAGAAATATTTGAAGACGGCGAGAAAAACAGGCGCAAGCGAAAACAATAAAATGCCCTGTGAAGGAATGGTATCGGAACTGGGAGAAGAAAAAATAGCTGAATGAATGAACTTAAGACCGGGTTTGCGCAGTAAAAGAGATAACATTATAATGCTTGCAGGAAAATAAATATGAAATCTAAATTCTATAGTGGTAAGGTAGAACACAGAGTCAGAAAAATGAAAAAGGTTTAAAAGACATAACACTTCATATGAGCGAACGAAAAAAAATGAATCCACTTATGATGCAATAAAGGAGGAAAAAATTCAATACATGAACAAAGAAATGGATGAAACAACGAATATCAAAAATAAACAAATACATTAATAAATGAGAATATGAATGAACAGATGGTTTTCGGAACGCCTGTGGAGACAAATGCGAGCAGGTAAATTGACACATAATTCTGAATATCGGAAATACAAAGAATAAAAAAAGAATCAGTAACTAAAAAATACGCATAAACATGAGCAAAGAATTAATTGCACAGTACTCTAGTTTTGTGCCAGGCTACTGGATTAGCAAAATCAAACGCTGCCAACTTTAACCAATAACGGCATTATTACCCGTTTTGAAATTTGCACTGGAGTCTAAATGAAAAGCAGTTCAGTAGCCTAAATGCTCGACGGCCTAATGACGTCATCAGGTGCATAAAATTGCTAGTTGCAACAACAGCAACGAAATACCACCTGGTCGAAATCGCAAATTTTCAATATCAAACGACATGGACTAACTTGATTAACTAACCAGATAAGCTAATGTCGACAGTCTTTTCTCCGACGAACTTTCAATAAACGATGCCAGCAGTTTGTTATATTTGGAAAAGGATCAAATGTCAATTGATATTCAGTGCTGTTCTCAATTTCATCAGATTCGATTTACAGCAACTTCAAATTGAATGTTCGCAACTATACTTCCGAGCAAGATTGCCAAGAAGCAGTCAATCAAACCACGTGTCAGATCATGTTTACACTTTGCTAAATCTGATTTCGGATTTCTTAAAAATCTCCTATCAAGAATTAGAATGCATTATGTTGGTTAAGAACAGTCAACAAAAGTTTGATCGGATCATGTTTACGCTTCAATAAATCCAATTTCAGATTTCATAAAAATCTCCTGCCAAGAATCAGAATACGTTATGTTGGTTTGGCACAATCAACAAAGGTTTGAAAAGATTCATGTTCTCCAATATTATCGCAAGACAATACTCGCCTTAATCAAGGGACTTTAAATCATATATGATGTGTACATGTAGATTTAGGATTTACGGAGTTTTATTTGCATTTGACACAAAAGTTATTAATTGGAACAGTTTATTAAATAAATGGTGCAATTTCAAACACCTGTTTACACTTTCCCAGTAATACAAGATGTGCTTTTAACACAAGGAACCACGTCATGAAAAATTGTACGGATACCGTTCAAAGGTGTTCTTCGACTGATAATCTTTCTTATCTCAACCAAAATCTGAACATACTTGCGTCATAGGTCCGATCGCAACAGAATAGCGTATCAAGAGGCTTTTTAGGAAATCGTTTAGAGTGTTTGCTATCATGAAAATGGAAAAAAACATAGTCTGGTTTCCATATCAATAACCAAACTTTTAGGAAGGCATTTTACGCTAAAAAATAAGAAATGGTGGCATAGATTCGGTGCCCAAGAACAACTTTGGTTTCGTTAAAGAGGAACGTAATTTGAGTTGTCAATCTAATGCTAACAGTAGCTCTTTTGACCATAATATCACCTGTTCCGCACTCAGTGGTGCTAGATTGGGGTTACCTGGGCAGCAATGGAAAAAGAGCTCCTAATCAAATATGACGCACAGCTAGCGCGAATACCGTGTCTAGACCTCTGCAGTTGCAAAATAATTTTTTATAAAATCGAGCTCCAACTCCTTCCAACAAATAGGCTTGTCAAAAGAAATCATATTCAAACAGCCAAAGTCACTTCAATCCAATATGAAGACCACGTTCTATGAAATTGTTCGATGCTTGCTGGGATTTAATTCTTCACATGCGCAAATTAACATCAGATTTGCTTCAAAAGAAACTTAGACGGTTCTCAAAATCCCTAGAGTTAAAATGCTTGGGTTTCATGAGATATAATGTCATTTCTAAAAATCAAAAGCAAAGGAGTCAGCTCACAACCTTGTTACAATTCAAACTAACCCATAGAACAGGACTGTGGATTATCTCTTTGAGGTTATCGCCATAAAACAGAAACAAAAGCAACAAACAAGCCATTTAAGTTGCCTAGCAAAATATCAAGAAATTATGAATAAAGTTTAGTTATTCTGTAAAAGTTATATGATTCTGTAAAAACAGCCACGATACCTTCAATTTAAAAATAATATGAAAAGTTAGCTAAGGGCAAATTAATGTGTTGTATGATAATTGGCGGAGCATCCCTGTTTGGTAGATAAACTGGATACGTCGTGGTCTCGAATTCAACTATTTAATTTTGGACCTAAGTGTCAGAAGTTACAGGTTGCGGACAATCAAGCAAGAAAAAATTGCAAAAAAGTGTCGAAGAAAAGTTCCCAGTGTATTTACTTGACACTGTGTGTTGCTTCGTTGGTAAAAGAAATGTTAATACGAAGAAGGTGATTTATTTCCGCTATAATTAGCCCAAACATAAAATAAGATGGCAACAAAAAGACGATACATAATACCACAGCATGATTTAGGCTAACAGCAATATTTTTGTTTAACACTGCCTTGAGAGCAATAAGTTGTATCTTCTTAACAATAAGCATTAAAAAACACTGGAAAATCAAATACCAACCAACAAACATAATATCGAGCTATAATAGACACTGGGTGAGGTCAAAAGGCCTAAAGAATATAGTCCTTATTCAAAGGTTACTGAGGAGCTTAATAATGAAAGAAAACCGAAAAGAATTGAAACAGGGGTTACCTGCTATGAAATAATCTGTAAATGGAAAATTGCGCCTCGACAAAAAACATACCGTAAATATCAACAAAACAGTTTCTCAGCCAGTTGTAGGCTCCTATGCACGACAAGTGTGAATCATTTCGTAGTTTTTCACTGATGGCAATAACATTTTGTCTTAGAAACGACAATCAGTCACATGTTAAAGGTTTAATTCAATTCATTTTCACACTTTCAACGTTGACCGCCATGTTTTTTGGCCACGGCAATGTTGATCCACAAATTAGTCCACTTTTCAAATATATTTTTTAAGAACCCAGAAATGTATTTTCTCCATCAAAATTCCAGAAACAACTGAGCCAGTCTTGTATTGGTATACCTTTTAACTGCTCTACCCCCTGGGCCCTGGGCATCTGGCTAAAAGAGTAAGAGCCTTTTTCTTTATTATGTTAGATGTCAAGTAGCAAAGTGAAAGATTTTCACATAAGAAAACTCCAGCCTAATCGAATTTGATTTTTCCAAAAAGAAAATTTGAAAAATTGATTCTCTTTATTGGAATTTTGTAAAATATTGACAGAAAAATAAAGAGATGGAACCCTATTGGCTCACAGCATCAAAAAGGGCTTTAAGGAAAGCCATCATGAAAATATTTCTGATAATTAATGCTCTTCAGGGGAATATGTGGTGCCACGCTTACATGGGTGGCAAAGTAAGACTATTCTTACTCTAATCCACGTGATTTGCGAGCTTCCAACAAAATTTCGTATCAGAAAAAAAAATAATTGAAAAAAGCTAACCGGGCCGGTCGTAGAACTAGCGTAATGTATCTAATCCGGCCACAAAAACCAATAACCAGACAAGATTAAACCAAAATTCAAGGAAGAAAAGGATTAACTTTGGTATTTCTAATATGATACTTCCTCTTTTTAGCTCCGAATGCATTACTTCTAAAACGCTCTCTAATTAACTTCTCTAATTAGCTTGTGGTACCCATGACAAAGCAGTGTGTGCAATTAAATGTCTATCGATGTTTGGCCTATGCAAAAACCATCACATAGTACCGAATATTTCCAAAAGATACCAACTGATCATCAAATTGTTCTCATAAAAGCCATCGTAGACAGAAGAAACGAGCAACACTTCAATGTAACGCAGAGAAGTAAGCATTCAAAAAGAATTCTAAGATATCTTGGAGCAGGTTATTGATCAAGAGGATACGACAAGCTTATGCCAATTACAACGAATAAGTACGTACAAAGTCAGTGGGTTATTGAAAAATATTCAGTAGCAGTTCCAGAAGAATTTTTACCTTATAATTTTAGAACCTTAACCAAAGACTCTAGGAATTCCCGTTGGAGAAACATTGAAACTGAAAGGGTCCCGAAAAACCCTTCGAGAAAGGAGTTTTAAGAGACAAGCGAACAGTCTTAAATATGGCGGAGGGCAGCAGGTAGCATCAGTAACTTGGAAGGTTAGTGCTTTATATCAGTAAGGACGCGGCTGGAGCTCCGTTCAATGCCGTAATAACTATTATCGAGGACCCTTTTGTCCGGCACTGCTCTTGGAATACGCTTTGGCAAATGAACACTGCAAAGGATATCACAAACACAACCACAGGAAAGGGCTCGACACAAAACTATCAATTCTTAAACCATAATAGAATAAGGGACGCCAGCTGAGAATTCAGTGACCCCCAGTTGTGACAATCGGGTCCACCTATAGTCCGTATTATATACAACTTCCATCGTGCGGAGGCTATTCGCAGTTTCTTATGGCCCATAAACTAATGCAACACCTTTAAATACGTCTTCATTAACAACGGATCCCAGAAACAAAAAATGTTCACGATCAGTTGGACCCTCTATAAAACTAACGAAAGTTACACGAGAGCTTTATGAACATTTTTTGAAAGCCAAAGAAACACTAATTTCAATGGGCAAACAAGCTTCTTTTTTCAACCAATAAAACCACTGCTACATCACAAGCTTATCCTCTATTTTGTGTTGGCAACTTTAGAGCACAACTAAAGAGAAAAGAAGGTAATAACAAGAAGAACCAACAACTACAAACAGCTGATTGTGAGTCATTCTTGACAAACTTTCAAAAGAGAGAGACAAAATATCTAACATAAGATGACACTGAATTGAAGCTTTTTCTTGAAAACAGGCAACCTGACAACATTCTGTCATCCAGAATGTATGGGACTTAAAACAATCTTCGATAATGAAACCAGATAGGAATATAATCTTTAGAGATGATGATTCAAATACATTTGAAGATGAAAAAATTCAAACAACAGCTAGTTTAGAGATTAAAAGCTTTTTGAACCCCTCCCCTGTGGCATGATTCACCAGGGAAAAATCTGTGTGCAGCACTAAAGCAGTTACTTTGTGAGTCATCTAATAGCGAAGGTATTATGAGCAACATACCTCAGTACCACAAAACTAAAAATTGCTTGTATGCTAGTTTGTGCTGCAGCAGTCACAACTTTTTCTAGCTTAGCAGCGATACTTGGTGAACTAAATTGTTCTTTTTTTCAGCAAAGGCATCATAAACAATGCATTACACAGTGTTTCAGTTTGCTAAAACAGCATTTATATCATTTCATATAAACCTATCAGCACGAAAATCAGTTCATCAGGTAAGTTCAACAACACCCGTTTTATTATTATCTTCAAAATCAGCAGCTGCTGCAAATCTAAGTACTTGCCCATGTCACAACGCAAGATTTCATATTGCAGATTTGCTTTAAATATTCAATGAAGGAATATCTCTCCTTTCAACATAACAAAGTTTTTTGTGACTTAAAAGTCACCAAGACTACAGTTGGTTTTGAACAGCTCAAAATAAAGGATTACTGCATGTGAACTTTGAAAAAAGCAGTGAAACAGTGATAGATCCTGTTCCTTGACAACCATATCATAAGGGCAAAAAGTGGAAATTTTGTTCAATAAAAGGCTAGTATTATCAATGACAACTATGAAAAGACTACAAAGAACACTAACAAGTGACTGGAAGAACTTTCATTTTTATTGGATATTTCTAAATAACTTGCAAGGTTCACCTGGCACAGGTAAGCTTATGGAACGAATTCCCACGTAACAAAACAAAAGACAAAGAGTGAATGGTTTAAACACATCAAATAAAAACCACATAAAACAATGAAATAATTAATAGCATTAGTTTCTGAAGAATACTGGCCACAACAAATAGCCCACATTTTCAGCCCAAAGTCAGGGTGGCAAAAGCTCTTATAGCTTATTGTTTTGAGACAGAAATTCATATACTAGTGGAAATTTGGCACAAATGATACAGAATAAATAAGGTGTCATAACCAATGATGGTCACAAGTTATATCATGGCAGCAAAAAATGCCAAATACCAAATCAGTTATGCTAATTGTAATATGAAATAACAATACTACATTAATTGAATGACACTATAATTCAGAAAATGAGAGATCACCTTAATTAAAATATTGTGGATTTAAGAGAAGTTCATTAGAAATACCTAAAATCCCATTCAAAATACATACATCCCCCAAATTCAATGAGCATTGGAAAGAAAACAAAAAAACTTTAAAAAGTGAAAGACATTGCTTACCAGTTAACAATCTTAACAAAAAATTGCAGGCATGATCTTTAGGGGTCAGGAAGTTGTTACTCTTTAGAAATCTAAATGGAAAGATAACATTTTAATTCATGTATATATATATATATATATATGACAAAACACTAAGATAAAACAATTCTTATGGTTGAGAAGCTTGCTAAATGAAGAGCAATACAAAAACATTAATAAATCAAATGAATAAGTATAAATAATTACTACAAATTATATATATACAGCATATTGTGAATTTTTTGCAAATTGGGTGCACCCAAAACACCAAAACAAACATTTTAAGAATCAAAATTGCAATCATTGTCTATCCAGGTAAGGTTGTGTAAAACAATACTAATAGCTGGAAAAAAAGGACATTGTTAAATTAACAATGGTCTGCACACTATGCCATATACTGTGAGCTTTTATTTGCTATTCACAAAAAAATGAAGTATATAATTTTGCAAGAGCAAATGGCACATAAAGAAATTTGATTATGCAAATGAAATGACTAGGACTTCTAAAATTCTGATTATCATCATAATTATATAACAACAATAATTGTCATTATCAGCTTAATAATCATAAAAATCACCATAATGATTATTATCCTCATACTCATCACCACTATCTTCATCATCACAAATTTCGCTTTTATTGCTTTTCAATTACAATCATCCCATATCATCTTTGCTCATCTATATTTCTATAACAAGGCCACCGTTGCTTTTGGTCAAATTTTTGAAAATAAGTAGTAGTTTGGAATTTCAAAATGAAGAAAGATCTCTTGTAAGAAAAGATAAGATGATGTCAAAATTATCTTCATTTCAGAAATATGTCACCAAAAAGTACAAAGTGCCTTTTGAAACAACAAAGCACCTGAAACACACAATTATAAATAAATAGCCCACTGGTTACAACGTTCTTTTATCATCTATTATTACTAAGATCACATGATAAAGATTGATATTTGATAACTTTTCCCTGCAAAGGTCAACAATCAACCAGCAAAGGATAGCCTAAATATGGATGACACATAATTCTTGGTGATGTGAGTCATGCACAGCTAGAAACCTAAGCTTGTAAAAAGATAACATCGCTCGTCTTTCCATGGAAATTATCATCTTGCACAAAATATTAATGTATTTATTTGGAAAGTACTTGCTTGAGTATAATTCAAATATAATAGATTTTCAAGAAGATGCTTTCAGAAAAAAGTTATCTGGCAGTGAACTATTTTTTGCAACTATATCAAGGAAGGTTATAAAGTTGCCTACTTACAGCACCTGATTGTCTCCAGCTCACTATCGAAAGCAACAAATCTCACTAGCCTTTTCAAGGCATGAGCATTTTCAATATAAAAAACAGCTGAATTCTAAGCCACCACCAATAGTTGTTCTCTCGCCAGAACACTCTTTAAAATGTGCGTGGAATTACTCGATGGATAGCTTTTTATAAATGAAAAATTCATCAACCAATGCAAAGCAGAGACAATGCTAAGCAATTTCCACATTGGCTTGAATTTAAGGGAAAACAAAGTTTTCCATTTGTATGTAGTTAGGATTATGGAGGTGGGCAGTCACTTTATTGTTGACTAAAAATACATGGTTAGGAGTGTAGTTTTAATTGGTTTCTAAAAGCTCATTCTGCATAGTAATTATATATTTACATGTTTGATCTTCAGAGGCTTCTTTAAACATGTGGACAGCAAAACATAAAACTGACGTGAACCGCAAGTACTCCAAAACGACAAAACATGCTACCTCCTTAGTTTAAAATGGTTTTTCAAGGCAATGCGGATTGTTCGAAGTAATTAAAAAAAAAAGGGGGGGACGACTTCTACTGAATAAATTTTCGGATACGTGATAAAAGTATCAAGAAGACAGTTGTTTTAAGGATTTCAGGTTTCGAATACCGGTCAAAAATCAACTGTTAGTGGCACCCTGAGCGGAAATTGAGACTTAGCTTCAGTTCGGTGGCTGAACCCTCCAGCAATCAATTTCGTGAATGAAATTGTAATGTGAGGAAAAACCGCATTTGCATACGACAGAGAAAACCGGCAGTAGACGGAAGCAAACCAAAACACGAGGATTCTTGTTCGTTCCCCTCTAGATATAGGCCGGTTGAATCAATCAGTTGGCAGGTCTCTCTTAAAATAATTGCTCCAAGATCAAGCACGAACAAGATCACAGATCATGAATATTTTTGGCCTACCTAAAGTTTTTGTAAATGGTACTAGGACGATGCGGTTTTTTGCTGGCTATGGAAAACGTTTTAGGCTCTCTGAGGCCTGGTTTATAATTTAAACTCATGTCATTTGGGACTAAACGAAAGATTTTGTCTACTCGAAACAAAACTAACGCGCGATTTATGAAGTGTATAGCGTCTCCGCGTTTCTCTCGATCAGACCAAACACTGCCCCACGGAAAAACCCTTTCCTAAGCAACGAAACCACTTTGTTAGATTTTCTGAGACTTTGCAACAAAGGTGGTGGCAAATTACACAAATCCTGACGATTTCTTCGGCAATGGAACTTGAGACCACAATACTTTTTCGATCATATTTCGGTCTTCTACAAAACAAACTTAGGCTAGTACCTGCCCATATAAATTATTGAGCGAATCAATTCATGCAGAACATGTATATGTACAGTTGATCATTCTTATAACTTGACTATAAGAAAACCTGATGACATTTAAGTAACCAAATGGCGATAGATAAATATTCAAACAGCTCAAATTCTCTCCTTACCGAGATTATCCGCCATAACTTTTCCATGCTGTATCTAACCTCAACATGAATTTCGTCGCAATGGCTACTTTCGTTCCTTAGCCAAAGAATGCAAATAATCTATTGTCAATTGTTCCCTGTTGTTTAGCTTTTAGTCAGTAATCGCACTACCATTGGCTGTAGTATTGTTATTCGACTCTCTATTGTTCTGTGCGCTGTTATTGTTAATGGCTTCTCGGAGCAATCCCATTGGTCTTATCCGAAATTTTGCGGTGCTCGCGGGCCCCAAGCGGCCCCAAGGGGTTAAAGACGGAATTGGGCGTCCACAAGTCAAAATTCCTTGTTACCCTGCTCATTTTATTAGAAAGTGCGTCTCTCTTGTAACTTGTGCCTTTTTTCTCTCTTGTAACTTATGCCTTTTTTAAATAAAGAATCTAGTTCAATACCTAGTTCCTAAAGTTCCTTATTTTTGGACCTCTTTGGTCAAAATGTGGTATCAAATGTTCCTTAATTTTAACTACACATTTAGTGCCATGAAAATAGTTCAGACAGAAAAAGAACATCAAAAATGAATGCCAAAAACCAAGTGGGTCAAAAATAAGTTTAAAACATGTAAAAATAGAATTTCAATCAAGAAGTAGCATTTGAAGAATGCGCAACTCTAGTAGTGATGGTTCATTAAATCTTACGGTATTCCTCGTTAAGGTTACTTACAGAGAGGTTCCTTAAAAGAGCGTATAATCATAGTTCTGGGTTTAGGAAATGGCTTTGAAAAAAGCAAACATTTTACGACATACTAAAAGCTTTTTCGTCCGACACTCCTCAGAGCAAAAACGTCAAAATAAGGTTCCGAAAGAACACGATGAAAAATATATACCCAGTTGTGGATCGAAATAGGCCAATCAGAAAAACGCAAGCACAAGACCGGTATAGTTGACCTATCAGTGCCGCGAGCCTAAAGAAAAATTACCAATGGAGTCCAAGAGAGAAAACGAACTCCTTTTGTCTACACAATGGCGGCTTTTTCGTCACCCACCAAAAAAACTTATTTTCTAGGCCACCCAATATGAGAGAAGAAACGTCACGGAGATAGGAATTAAATCAAAACTACACACATTTTTTTATAAGAAACTGGCTATAAGAAACGAGTACTGGGCAGTCAGCAAAATTAAGAAACTTCAGTACTCGAAGCAATCAGTGATAAAACTGAGGACAACGAAGTTTTGTAAAATCCAAGAACACGATTGCCCGGATGGCCTAGAAATTAAGATACAAGGGATAAATACAGCGTCAGAACGGAAGCGAGTCTCTTGAGGTGAAAAAAATGTCACGAACATTTCATAACATAATTCATGACATCATAATTAAGAAACTCTTAAGAAACAGTGAGTATTGAAATTTCCAGAACATTAAGAAACTGGAATACTCAACATCGACCTTTGTTTCTTATAAAATGAGTGTACCCTGATTATATATGGTTTTATGTAATAACTGATCAATTGGTATGACTTCAACCATTGTTCGAAAAGCATAAGAACTCCATCAATACACGTTTGTAGACAAGAAATCAGCCCTTAGAATAAGAAATTACGCATGGCCACAAGAAGTTATTTGGATAATCAAAACCCGACCACAAAATAACGTAAAGCAAATCTTTGTAGTTTGATGTCACTTCTAAAGATGCTACGTTCAATTTTCAGAAAGTATGTGTAAATGGTGGATAGGTTTGCAACAATAAATAACGCGTGTGTTTCAGAGAGGCATTCACTATATACTTCTCGTGCATCATTACATGGAGTAATAATATGTATGAATCACTACAGTATGGTACAACAAGTTGTAGTGAGCTTGTCAAAGGAAAATTTGGAAAAGGTGAATTTTCACATCAAGATCGAAGAAAATATTTTTCAACAAGAGTTTGTAGCCTTTTGATTTATGCTATTTTGAATGGGAATTCCGATAATTTATTTCTGGTAATTGGAGATATTTCATTTCTGGTAAAGCTTGCCAAGACTGATTGCTACAGAACTAATCAAAAACGTAAAAATCAAATTATTATTATTATTATTATTATGATTATTGAATATTTATACAGGATAATACTTCAGTAGTGATATGCGTATATACATATTTACACTGTTTTCCCAGTAGTCCTGTTGAAATAAAAACAGTAAACGAAGTAAGATTAAAAAATTAGTTTACAATCGGCGTTTATAAAATATAATTTGAAACCCAAAAAAAAGTCCGTACAAGGGGAATGAAGTTGAGTAGTGTATAAGAGAGGATATCAAATATCAGAGTGCTGATAATAAGCAAAAGTAACAGTGGATATCGATACAAATTAGTTTAAGGATCGAAACAACTTCAAATATCACAGGCAGAAACGTAGTTGAAACGATCTCAATTATTAGGGGCGTAGCTAGCGAGTGGTGTTTGAGGTATGACACCCCCAGTCCTTCACGAGTTCCTGGATGAATCTTTCGTTGGTCAGATCGGTCGCTGAAATAGCACTTAAATTTTCCTTTAGTTGTATCTTTGTCGGTAAATTTTACTACTCATAACCTTCCATTCCCTTAAACCGGAAGGTCAGCTACGCTAAGGTCAAAGGCGTAGTCCAATGTTGATCTGATTTTCTGACTTGGGTTGAAACATTGCTTTGAAAAAAAACCGAATCAAGCGTACATGCAATGCATAATGAGTAAAAAGTCAACTTAAAAATTGTTCTTTAAATCCAGACTTTATTCAATATTTATAACAATCTAGGAAAAATTGATAATATTGTCCAAGAAAATCGATATGACTGTCTGTGCATGGATAAAGCTGCATGATATTAGCTTGCTTCAATCTAGTTACCATTTTGTTGAAAAGCGTTGCAATAACAGTAAGCTTCAAACGAATTGTACAGTTTAGATGCCTAGTATTACAGCTATTCTTGTATTACAGCATAAGGTATTAGAGACATTGTCTCAGTTCATTTTTGCAACAGCAAAGGCAAAATAATTCCTGCGACAGTTGGTAGTTACGCTAGGCCTATCCCTGAAAACATTTTCGTTACGCTATTTTAGTATCACGAGAGTGGCACACTTGGTGTGACGTAATCGATCATAATCATCGAATTTTAATATGAGATTTCACGTGAGATTAGCACCAGCATCTGTTTTATTCTCAGCGCAAAAATAACGATAGGAGTGTATTATGTACTGTAAATAGCCAAAAAGATTCTTGTACTACGCTTAGAATTGCAATGTCATCAGGGGCTCCGACGCAAGTTGAAAAGTAGTGAATCAAAGTACCATATCAAAAGATTTTGTAAAAAGGCGCCATTTTTGCCTAAAAGGGAAGCATGCCCCTCGTCGTCAGAGCACATGGTCATTTGGGCATAAAATTATCATTACACGTTTCTTTTTAATTAGAAAGTATTTTATAAGAAAGTCATGCTCGGTTCTTCAAAAGGTTAACAGGGCTTGACCTTTGAAACCTAAGAAAGTTGAAAAATTTAGATATTCAAAGTTTCAAAGGAAATTGTGGTGTTAGAGTAAAATATTTCAACAATACAATAATGTGCTGAGCAGTTTTTGAGGGTTTTTGAGAAACATAGCAAAATTTTAGCATTTCATCTCCTCCATCACTGCGCATGCTTAGTAACATTAAACTTTCCAATTTTACGTCAAGAAAGTGTTGAAAAATTTTTAGTGCTAAAATTAGGAAATGGCCAAGAAATTCTGAGGCTGAAGAAAACTTTCTTATAAAAAAAACGTATAGTACTTTTGAAAAGCAGGGCATAAAGGTGGGTTAGGCCGCGGATAAACAGTGGCTCAGCCAATCGAAATCTAATATATGTGGTTTTGCTTTGGGTCAAAGATTACTAGAGATGAAAAAGTACAAGTAATATTGTATCATCGTTGTTCCTCCTTGCTTGAGATCGAGCCCAGAGTCGCTCCAGTGGGTGATATTACGAACCTCTTTTGTGAGACTTTTGCTTTCGCAATTCTTTCTAGAGAATCAGGACAGATAAAATGAACATGAATCTCTAAAATTCAGGAAACTTACCCATACCTTTCAAGCTCTGCGTATATTATCATTTCACGGACGTTGTCTAGATCTCAAAAGCGAAACCCAGATCAATTAAGTTCATTTTGTAAGAATTGATTTGCCACGATATAATTCCTTAAAACAGCCTATTTTCACAACTTGATTTCCCAGCTATATTTGTTTTCGATGGTTAACCAAAACACCCACGTGCTGCCATGGCATCGTCCATTCGGCTCAAAAGGAAAAGACATCCAAATCACGTTGCTAACTCATCCAGTAAATTAAGTACAAACATTTTCGGCGTGACAAACTTTAGAACAAATCTTAGTCCGAAAATTTATTTGCACAAAATTTGGATTTATCCGAAAATTTATCATGCTGTATGAACCACGCATGCGCAATGTATCAAATATTCTCATCTTCTATCAAATATTCACCCTCACTTTCTAATTCTCCTTTCTCTGTCGCATCTGACTCGACAGTATCAATGCCTCGCCGAAGCAGGCTCGAAAACAGGGCTGGTGAGGGGGGATTAGGCCTCCCAAGATGGAGAACAAAACTTTTGTCGGGTCTTTATACTTTATACGTTACAGTTTATGTTTCGAATTTATCATCTAAAAGACTGATCAACATTTGTCCGAAAATTCATACGTCCGAAATTTCAAAAACATGTCCGAAAATATTTTTGCCCAAATGGAGGCAAAGTTAAAAACAAAGTCTAATGCAGAGGATTTCTACAGCATTGTAGCAAGTGCCTAATCTAAGCGTATTTTCCCGCTAATAGTTGCCTTCGAATTTGAAATAGTTGTCGGGAAAGCAAAATTAGTAGGAAATAAGAAAAATAAAAATAATAGCTTTTATCAGCCGTAAGAATCAAAGTCAAATAATTCACATCTACATGTTACCTCTTTTCCCTAGAAATTGTCATTTTCCAATTGGTTCCCCATCAATACTACATCTACGCAATTAACACTTGAAGCTACCAAATAAAACTAGATTTTGTTGATAAAAGTTAATTTTTGTATTGTGATTTCCCGGAAAAAAATATTAAAATTTGTGCAGTGTTTTTTTTCTTTCTTAATT